TCACCTGTTAAACGTGTAGAGAGAAAAACACAAGCTGTGGCGCTGCATATGTCAATTAAGTTAATATCCTGTTGTCGTTTTTTGTCCCATCACCTGTTAAAAGTATAGAGAGAAAAACACAAGCTGTGGCGCTACATATGTCAATTAAGTTAATATCCTGTTGTCGTTTTTACTCCACTGTCCTTCTGAGACCTTCTATCAAGGAGGCTGCGTCATTCTTGTTTAGCGTCACATTGACCACCTGCGTCTCACCTCTACTTCCTGCTGACTGCAACAAACCACACGTCACAGCTCACTTATATTTCATAAAAAAGAAAATCCCATCATCTTTCATACAGAGCTTTTATTGTTTTTCAATTCACACAAACATTTGTCAACTGTGTGTGTGTGTGTGTGTGTGTGTGTGTGTGTGTGTGTGTGTGTGTGTGTGTGTGTGTGTGCGCTCAAGACAAAAATGACAAACATACATTGTACTCAACATCTTTTGTCCATTGAGATTTGCTACATTGACGAGGCATCACACATCTGATCCTCGAAGACGTCTGAATAATAATTATTTTACATCGATAAGACCATTTTTTTTCTCATCAAATCATCCGTGCTGAATAGAAATCCATCATACAAATCCCATGAGTCCAGACAAACGACAAATATAAAAATAATCCATATATCTTCAATTCTGCACCTTTTGATTCTGTTAGAAAAGTCACATTTTCTCGGTGATGCAGTTTTCCTTGAAATTGACACTTGAACAAAGATAGAACAGTAAGTGCAGTCTGTGATCAAAAGGTTTCTCTTGATACCCCCGCGGCTTTGTCGCACTCACATAACCTCACACATTGGTCACCCCGATGTTGGCATAAGCCCGGACGGGGCTTCCTTGTGTCCTCGGAGGTGTTTGCTCTCTGACTTCACGAGGTAGTGACCCGTAGCTGCTGTGGTAGCTCAAGTCCCGTCCATTGCGCATCTTTGGGCTGAATCCTGTTGGCGGCTGCAACACAAAATAAATGTGCTGTTTACAGGGTCGGCAGGTTATTTCAATTTACTGGCAAATGTCCAGTTTCATTGATTACGACCATACAATAAAATTGATGCGTATATTTTATGAAGTGAACAAATAAGCTGTGGTGTCCACATCATCCTTGAATGGAACGACCGTACATGACGGCCAGTCTTTCTGTCCTTACACATTTTAATTGAGCATCTCCACGTTGTAATTTCCTCGATATCCAAGACTACATTTTATCATTTAAGGGACTATCTAAAATTACATCACTTTTTTTCTGTATCAATCTGAAAAATGGGTTCGTGCATTCGTTTTAACGTTTCTCCACTGGCTTCCAGCTGAGTAGAGAATTAATTCCGAGATCTTATGTGTGGTTTTTATATCTCTTAACGGTTCTGCCTCACCTTATGTTTCAACAAAATATAATAAGAAGAAGAATTTAGGAATCATTTGGTACTTAAGTGCTCAGTGTTTGGTGTCCAGGTAAAAAAACGGTACCAACATTTAATAACAGAGTGGAGCACGACATTCAGCAATCTTCTGCGAATAAATAACCTGGCAAGAACCAGTGAATCACTCAAAGGAGTTTCCCGCAGTACGAATCTGGGACTGCTCGGTAAAGGCGGGACAATCATGACAATACTTTGAGCTGAATGGGCGATGCGGCAATTTGTGCACGCCGATCACATTATAGTTTTGTCCAATCACAGCAACGAATACTTTAAGACAAAGATATTGTGCTTGGTGCAAGATGGAAAGAGCATTGTTTTCCCCCCCACCTTGACAGCCCTCCTCCTCAGTGAACCCTCATCATCGGTGTGTCGTCCGGCAGAGCCGGGCGACCTGCTGGGGGAGTTTTGTCGAAGGGGAGTGGGCGGTGTTCCCAAAACTGAGCGCTCAAAATCTTGCTTGGCATCCGCCCTGCAAAGTTCAGATCGGATTGTAACATCTCTTGCTTCACTAAAACGTTTACACACATTATACGAAGTGGGTTCTAAAACAAAATCGCAAAGATTTACCTGGCTAGGCATATCAGATTTGTAAGCTCTTCTTCAAGGTGTCTGCGAACAATGTGCTTGCCGCTGGGAATTCCCATCGCTGTGGCCAAAGCGTCGCTGGAAAAATTGGGATCCAGCACCATGACAGCGCCGTGGATGCCGCTACTCACGACACCATCTGCAAACTCCTGCGCAGATGGACAGAAGGCTTTCGTGGTTGGATGTTACGCTCGATTTATTCAAAGCCCAGTGAGTCACTTCCAATTTGGCTATAAAACGAGGTGACTTCAGTTGTGAAATTGCTCATTCCCTTTATCCTCACCTTGAGGTCGATGTCTTTAAGCCATTTAATGACACGATGAGAGGTCCAAACCAAAGGGTCCGTGTTCTGGTGCTCACACTGTACCCGGCGGGCCTGCAGTGCCTGGCGAGCAATTCCACAAGCACTTTTCATTCAAATGACTTTCTCGCAAGTTTCAGGTGGCCAGGTTGTGATGCGTGTGCGGTGCCACTTACGTCCTTGTCAAAATTGAGTAAGTGCAGAAGCTCGATGCCCAGCAGCAAGCTGACCTGGTGGAGGTTTTTGGAGATGTTGAGATGGCGTTCGAGGTCACGGAGGGTCAGGGAGTGGAGCATGCGTCCGTCCACCAAGTGGGTGTGAAATGCCTGCGAGTACTGCGGCAAGCCCACGTCGCTGAGCCAGGCTTTGGCCACCCAGTGGTGGTCCATGTCTGCAGCCTTGGACAACCTGCACAGGGGCAATATCAGTCAGGAATGTGGACCGCTACGTCAGCCGTTTGTTTACCCCTCTGACTCATGTTTTCAGAATATATGGACTGTATGTAAATGGGCAGACATGTTTGCATTAGGTCTGTATGGAAATAGACATTCACATTATGTGTACATCTGACGGGACGCGTCGAAAACGTTCTGTCTGTGCGTGTGCCATGTAGTGGTTGAAAGTGGAATTGCACCCAATTTTAATAAGCATTAGACTAGCGGTTCTTAACCTTGTTCGAGGTACCGAACCCAACCAGTTCATATGCACAGTCACCGAACCCTTCATTCGTGAAAAGTAAAAATATGATTTATTTTTATCAATTCAACACATAAAAAAACTTAAATACAATTTTAAGACATAAGTATACTTTTTCTTTTTTTTTTAATTGTGCACAAAATGAACCAGCCAGTGATGGCCAAGCGGGCGGGTCATAACGAATTGACATGTTGAGTCGGGTGTGTCTTAACCTCCATGGCAGAGGCTCCGTCGAACCCCTCAGCCCGATACACCAAACCCCTAACCACTTTAGGTTAGGAACCACTGCATTAGACCAAAATAGTTATTAACTGTTAAAAATAAAATCTGCATGGCATCAGTTCCCGCTCAATCGTGGTGAGAATGTGAGCGTGAATGGTTGTCTGTTCCTCTATGCGTCTAATGGAAATGAGTTCCTAAACATTAAGACAACATTGTTGTCATATTAAAAACAATTGGAACCCGCTGGACGACACCAAAACCATCAGACGGAACGCTCCTTCCGCCGCGTAATTTCACGCAAAGTTTCTCGCGCCTTCCTCACCCCCTTCCATCCTCAGCCTCTCTGTAGTCTTCAATGGCCAGACGCAGTTTACGACGATGCATCAAACTGGTTACGCCCAAACCAAGCTCCAGGTCTTCATCGGTTAGTCCCAATAACACCTACAATGCAAACAGATCAACACCACCCTGGCTCAGTGCTTATATGACCTCCATTGTGGTGACCAGTTACACATTGCTAAATCAGTCATTCTTAGTTTGGGAGGAGAAATAGGTTTTGTGTGTTTGTTTTATTGTTGTGCCAATTGCGGCCTAATGGTATTCACTTTTTAACAATGTTACAATAATGTTATTTTCTGGACCCCATGTTACACACTCACTGCATCCTTCCTTACCTTGCCACTCTTGACATTCTCCGAGCAGGTGCGTATGTACATGGGCATCGCCATGACGACCTCCAGCCAGGCCTGCACAGTGCCCGCCCTCCACTGGGACATGGGCGTGCTCCTGGCCAGCTCCACCTGCTGCAGGCGGTCCAGCTGCTCCTCTGGGCCGTCCGGCAAGCTGAGGCTGAGGCGGGTGGCACTGGCGACGCTGTCCAAGTCTGGGTGAGTGGGTGAATGAGGGGGAGGGGGGTGAGGAGTGGGACGGGGGAAGGACATGTGGGTGTTGTGGTTGGCAGCGTGAGTGAGGGCAGAGGTGGCACCGTGGCCCTCGTGAGTGGTGACATCACAAGAGGTTTCTCAAGAGCAGAGGTGGGCAAACTCGGGTGCTCAATCGCCACATTGGATAAGTAATCGGTCATCAGTACATATTTTGAAAATGTGTTCGAATGTGTTGTTAAATAGTTTTATAACCTAGATCATTGTCATGCTTCAAATTGTGTGATTTACAATAATTAATCACACATTTAATACAATGAAATGCCCAAATTATATGAAAACCTTTGTAGTTTACAGATATTCTTATCCAATTACAATTTACAATCAATCAATTAGTCCATCATTTGAGATAAATGAATTAAAAAAAATACATCCTTATTAATTGACCAATTTTTGAAAAAAAAAAAAGTCTAAATACAATACTCCAGTACTCTTGATAATGGATATGCTTATTGGGCCAGATTAAAGAATGGAGCAGGCCTTTTGTGGCTTGCGGGCCATACTTTGCCGAGCCTCGCTCTGGAAGTTTGAACTTGATTGATATCAGAAGAGTAAAGTTAGTTGATTCTCTTGTATTAGTTTTTTTTTTTTTCATATGTTTCCATATGAAATCTATAAAACGTAATCGATTATGAATCTGGTCAAAGCTTTCCTATGCATTACAGGATATATTCATAATATTTGCCCTGCTTCGATCAGTCATTGAAATGCTGGGAAACCGAGAACCACTGAAAAGTGAACTTTGTGGCATTGTGACATTCCAAGAGCTCAACAGTAGGGGGCAATGTGGAGCCATAATTGTCCAACAGGCAAAACTCCAGACACCGTCGTCAAGAATCATGTTCTTCCCAGTGCAAAATTCTTTTTAAATTTTTTTTAACCCAAGATGCACGACATCCCCGTCTGTGTATTAAGTGTTGTCGGTTTGCTACCTAAGCTAAGATCATTATGAAATGATTGTCTGTCCGAAAACACTTCCTGGTTTGCTTCCTGTATGATACAACTCTACATTTTCCCCACACTGCATGACGGTTTAGGGTAAAATAAATCGATGCTAAACAACCCATAATCCATCCCGATGCACTGTAGATACTGTACCTAAACTAAGAGAGGAATTTTAACCGAAGCACAAATGAAGCACACAGTCAAGTAACTAATGTCAACAGAAATGTGCGCATGATGTATGTTTCTGGTACATAAAGTGGACATTTCCAAATCATTTTAAATTCGTGCTCTGGTCATTGTTAGTGCCCAGCATGTCGGCATTTATCACAGCCTCTGTTAAAAGGAAAAATAAACAAAAACTGTTCATTTCCAATATACTGAACTCAAGGTCATATAGTTTCAAATAATCCTGACTAAATTTGAATAGTCTTCATGTTCTTTGTCTCACAAATCCTTTACCTCGCAGTGTATCTGTAAAGTGTACACAGTACTTCAGTTTTCCACATTTTATTTTACAGTCTTATTAATCCAAAATGTATTTCATTCATGCTCTTCTCAAATTCTGAACACAACACCCCATAATGCCACCATGAATGAAGCTTGAGAGGTGCTGCAAAGCGGAATGGCCTAATCGGCCGCAAGACACTGTTGTTGTGCCGAACTTGCGGCATCATTTTCAAAAAGATGTCAAAGGTCAATCAACAAAGTACTGAAAGGTAGGTGGTTTATTTTGCAATTTTATGAATAAAATGGGAAAAAACAAATACCCCCAATGCACACACATTGTCATGATGGTGTATTGGGTGTAGGAATCTATGGGAAAAAGAAGAATTTAATGCATTTTGAAGCAAGGCCGTGAACGTCGACAATATGGAAAAAGTGAAGCACAGTGAACGCTTTTTGGATGCACGGTGCATCCCGACATTGTTGCTGCATGGCCCTGTCACCTACACACACCCTAAAAAGAAGTGTTCCAATTCATGGTTAGTTATTTATCCATTCTCTGTAGTGCTCGTCTTCATTCGTGTAACAGATGAGCTGGAGGATGTGAGCATGGACGCAGCAAACTGCTGAAAATAAAAGTTACTATATAAAAAAAAAAAAAAATCCTTTTCAGCTAAAATTGACATACTGTATTTCAATATTAATCCTATTTGCGCCAGGAAATCTATTTGTTGACTCATGGCTCAACCAAATGTGAATAGTGCTGCTATGCTCCTAATTAGACAACAAAAATATATAGAATAAAAAATTTAAAAATCTCTCTCTCTCTATATATTTATATATAAACATCCATCAGTTGGACAAGGGCAATCAAAAGTTTAGAGAAGGTCAAATTAAGTTCACTTGGAAAGGGGGAAGTGCATTTTAGGTTCCTGCTGAAATTTCACCTGAAAGCCCCATGTCACTCATCTTTTTCTGGTAGCGCATGTTTTCAATTTGAAATTTTATTGCTTCTATAAAAGTGGCCCGCAACTTTGAAAGAATGGGAGGATGCGGGTCCCGGGGTGAGACCAGTTGAGAAGCACTGTCGTTAGTGCAAAGGAGTTACACGTATACGTCACGTGTTTCCAGCATGGTGTCCTTTCCCTCTCAATGTCATCTCCGATTGCAACGACGAAGACGCGCGCTCACGTTTGGAGGGAGAGGAAAGGAGGCCATCTGAAAGCGCCCTCGAACACATGCACACACAAGGCACACGGGATTAGCGCCATGACAAATGAACACACACAAATATTAAAACACACGGGGAAAGAGAGGACAGCCACATGAAAATTCAACATGATTCGTTTTTATTTTAAAATAATATTACTTCTTTAGATCTTATGCTTCTCCCTTGTTTTTGTTTTTTTTTTTCTGTAGCTTAACCATGCCTCTTAAAATGTCACACATACACACCTCACGACTTCACAATTCAAGTTGGCTCTGCCGAACGGCCGGCATTTTTAAATAAAATTCTTCCATAATATTAGTTTTCTCTATCGGTGTCCCATTTACAACAGGTAAAACATCTGAGCAAATAAACCAAAACAATACAAAACAAAACACAGAGACAGGTTTGAGAACGGCCTCTTGGACTTTTGAAAGTTGGCAAGAGAGCAAAATAAAAAGCGAAATATTTTGGGGACGTTCTTATGCATACATGCCAATCCAGAATTGCTTTTATAACTAAATTTTTCTTAGGGTGAGCTTTGTGTTGTGATGCTCCCACCGCTGCACATACTCAGTCATGTGTGCAGTCAGTAGTGTTGCAGCCGGGGGGGCGGGGGGTTTAAATTAACAGCAGAAGAGATTTCCTGGGGGCGAGACAGTGCAGACTCCAGCTCTATCCAGAAAAAAAAAAAAAAAAAGCGCTCGACAGCAAATTTGAATCAGAGACGGCCCTTATGTGTCTCTCAACGGATTTTTGGCACTGATAGAATTTTTTTTTTTACTTTTTTCCCTCGTCACGCATTCGAATTTTGAGATTTTCATATTTGTTTGTTTGTTTTTAATGTTTGACCTGTAACAGCGTGTACAATACTGATTTTACCCTACATTGTAATTTTTTCATGATGACCTCGTAACTCATCCCGAGCCCAAAATAAAATTCCATCACGCGCTCCCTGTTCATGATGTCACTTTCCTTTGACCTTTCAACTGTGAAAGAAGAAAGTGCATTTGATTTTCTTATTCAAGTGACCCGCAAGGAGCCACGGCGACTTCGGGCGCACTTTACAACTATTTTGTGCGCACAATGTCGTAGTCCGTGTGCGTATATAATCGCTTTTTCCCCCTTTTTTTTTTCAAATGTCCGTATTATTGCAAACACATTATTTTGGTAATTTTTCAAAAATGTTTGACTTTACTTTCCAATCATTTTTTTATTTGTCGCTGTGCGTGTGTGAGTGTGTGTCGGTGTCATTTTTGGGAAGAACCCTTCCATTTGGTCGGTCACGGGCGACAAGTTCCTGATCATTCGAGATTTGGAGTCAAGAGTGTGGCGGGAGTAACTGACCTCTCTTTTGTCAAAGCAGACAAAGTTGTTAGTTCATTTTACGGACGGCGGCGTCAAGAGTGGCAACATGCGTCGAGGGACAGCAGCATGTGCATGCGGGGCACAACATGGCACGTACAAAACGCTTCTATCTCTACAGATAGAAATCACATTTCCCACAATTCCTGCCGGGCCTCGTGTTGCTAGGGAACAAAGTGCCTTGAGTGTTCCGCTAAACGAGGCGCTTCCCCAGTTTTCCTGACTGTAGACAGAATGGGATGGTTTGAAGGCGGGGTCTGCATGTCGCCCACAGGAAAACTGTTCTCATCATGGTGGTGTGGAAGGACGGGGGAATGAACCAAGCAGGGCGGTCAATGTAGGCGGGGGAGGGCGGGGTACTTGAAAGGTAGTCAGGGTTACATATCAAAAATAAGAAAAGGCATTCGGGATGAGGAGACATTTACGCACGCACGCAGACAAAGTGCACATCAACTGTTGTTATTGACACGTTACAGCAGTCCTTTCAAGTTTGCAGTTGAGTGAAAATCAAAATCGAGACTGGAAAACTCATATCCACCATGTTGTTGCGCTCGATTTACAGCAATGTACATACATCCAGGTGCAATTTGCTCGGTCACACTCCTGCACCTCCCGTACATGCTCACAAACACACATCAACACAACGCCGTCCTCTGATCATTTCCACAGAGGCTCCGCGTGGCCTTTACCAGTCTGCGTCCTCCTCTATGTAATAATCGGGTGTTGCAGTACCATCAAACAGACCCGGGTCCAGGGACTTGCGCTGCTTTCCTCGGGCGAACACTCGCGACAAAGAGCCCAGGCCCATCTTCTCCTTCTTCTTCTTACATTTGGCCACCTCCAGATCTTCTAGAGACTGCGGGAACAAAAACAAAAGGAAGCGTGAAGCAAGAGGGACAAAAAGGCACTGGGGAGAAACACCAAGACATGAAAAGTGTGCTGATATTTGCCATGCTGCCATGCAAGCACATCCAGAAAGCCTCTTTGCAAAATACGACGGCTTGATTTACTTTGATATGACCAGTATGCATTGTGGCATCACATATCTCTAATGCACTTTCTTTTTTTTCAACTTTTATTGAGCCAAGGCACAAATTTTACATTGGAAAAAATCTCATGGCACACACCCAAACAAACGCCACAAATCACAACGGTTGTCCTGGAAGATGTACTCTGTGTGTGTTGCCATGACTTTTTTTTTTTTTGCAGTGCTTATCTTGCGTCGAAAGGAAAGTTGTGATCAAGAACTACTGGAACTACAAAAACGCAAATAGAATTTGGATGACAGCTTCAGAGGGAACCACCAATGCAACGCACCGCTGACCACATCAAAGGTAAGCCTCAACCTGAAAAGCTTTTGCTCCCGCAAAGCCAAAAACAGTCGATAAGTTGAAATAAGAAATTGGAAGAGAGCAATGTTGTGGAATCCGATGGTCCGTGTTATCAGTGATGTTTATTTAAAAAAAAAAGTAGAAACCAGGATGAACATCGGCCAACATGCAGCGAGGAGCAAACTACACTGAAAGGAGAAGACTCACTTTCTTTGATGCCATTGGATTACGTTTCATTTAACGTTTTTTTTTTCATCGAACGAGATTTTTAAAATCCAAGTTAAAGCAAACTAGGGCGGCCCGGTGATCCAGTGGTTAGCGCGTACGCCTCACAGTGCAGAGGTGCAGGGCTCCGGCCTTCCTGTGTGGAGTTTGCATGTTCTCCCTGTGCCTGCGTGGGTTTTCTCCGGGTATTCCGGTTTCCTCCCGCATTCTAAAAACATGCGTGGCAGGCTGATTGAACATTCCAAAATGTCCCTCAGTGTTAGCGCGGATGGTTGTTCGTCTGTGTGTGTGCCCTGCGATTGGCTGGCAACTGGTTCAGGGTGTCTTCCGCATACTGCCCGTAGACGGCTGGGATAGGCTCCAGCACCCCTCGCAACCTTTGTGAGGATAAAGCGGATCGGAATATGGCTTTCCCACATTTTGCAACAACAAAATTAAAGTTGAGAGAACTCATTTAGATTTCCCCAACTTTTCGCATAGGAATTTTTGGCTAATTTCCAAATCATTGCGGGGAAAGTACAAAAATCACATTGATTAAACTCAAACGTGAGAATATTCTCATTCTTGGCACGTGGAAACAAAGTTGATTAAAGAGGACACTGCCGACAGCAAGAAAATGGACAGCTGAAGCAAAGTGGAGATTGCGGCGCACGTTTGAGTGACCGAGTAGGGAGGGAGGGGGCGGTGCAGGAGTTTGCGGTGCTGGCGGGCATCTCTTACATTACAAAGCGAGTGAGTCCGATGACGTGGAGAGTTGATGTCACTAGGTGTGGACGACCTGTCTCCCTCCACGGCCGAGGCATCGGAGATGAAGGAGGGCTGACGCGAGTGGCAGGGGCTCACCCGCACAGCGGCCACTATATGGAAGGAGAGTTGGAGGAGGAGGGGGAAAGCTTGATTTGTTTATTTTTTATTTTTTTAACAGCAGGGCTTTGGGAGTGAATGCAACAATTTGGCAAAATGGGATTTTTGTCACCTTCTTTATCGTCATATACTTTGATCTACAGCAATACCAAATCAAAAGGCAGAAATGACATGCAATCATGTGCAGTTGCCAAGCAACAGTGAGTGTGAGAATAGAACGGTGAAACCGGTACGGTACGTCCACACCGACTGTGATTTTACGGACATTTCCTCCTTTTCGGCTTGTCTGGTGACTCAGTTGGCGCTAGTATACCAATTTGCACAGCATGAATCATGACATCGGAACGATTCAAGATTATTATTATTATTATTTTTTTTTTGTAGATGTCTGAAATGTAATCAAAGTCGAGTCGAAGTTGATTAATCCGTGATGTCGTCGATATATTTCAGCGGCGCACAATGCTTCGCTGAAATATTATATTTCAAGAATATATTTCAAGACGATATATTAATTCTAGGGGGAATATAATATTTCAAGACGAGCGGTTGTCGGGATGGCCAAAGTTATGGAGGTTGTCGCGTTATTTTTCTTCTCTCAGACACGCATTCAATATGAAGACCGTGGCCTTGTTGGCCGAACATTTCACAGCTCCAAACTGGGAGATGAGATGCCGAAAACACGGGAGTCGCAGAAATTTGTCGGCTTCAAGTATGAAATGTCTACGCGGAGTCGTAATCTTGTTACCTGATCGGTTAGTATTTAGACTGCTATTGTGGTAGTTAGCTAGTTTGTAACTGTGTACAGTACATCGTCCGTTTGTATATCGCTGCAAACCATAATCATAAAAATTCAGTTCGGACTTCTTTGACAGTGTCAATGGAAACGGAACATTACTGCGTTCTAGCATCGGATCGCTTTGGATAGTGCAGGTGTACCTAAAGAAGGGCCCTGTCACCGGGCGAGAATTTTTCAGACTGAAGATCATATAATTGAGTTTTCGAGTAAAATGTATTTTGCTTGAAAAAATTTGGATTTTTTTTTCTTTTTTAGAGTCAAGAGTTTTTTCTAAAATTTAAACTGCATTTTCCTCTGTAGAAACATCCATCGGTGACACGGCGTCACGCACTGCGAGCGCCGACGTCAAGATAAAAGTCTACCGAGGCATTGATCGCCACGTATTATTTGGTTGGCTTTTATTTTGAAGTTGGCCTTCAAAGCGCAATGGCAGAGTGTTACTGTCGTGTCATTGTGGCTGACGAGACTTGCCTTCCTGACGGTGCACACCAAATAAGCAGAAGGACAAGGCAGGAAAAAAAAAAAAGTATTTCTCTTAATCAAGGAACTCAAATTATTTGAGCTCTCGTTTCGCCCCAGTTGCTTTCCCTTTCTCACTCCTTTGTCCGAAACAATAAGAAATAATAGCGTGCTATTTTCACATCAGATATACAACACTTGGCCATCCCACTCGGTTTGATTCCGTGGCAGTTGATGGCGACGTCAAGACAACCGGAAGGCGCAAGATAAGGTACGCTTCATCCAAAAAGCGCAATGGGATGACGGCTAACAGCACGCGCACAAGAGCACACGGCGTCAACGGGCGCATGCGGCCGCTCGACGGCGCTGCTTCTACCTTGTCTGTCGGTGGGATGGTCCGTGTGCACGTAGAGGGTCTGCTGACTCCGGCTGCATGGATGACGGATGGGGGGGGAAGTGAGTGGTTGCTATTTGGGGCGCATTTGTGCTTTTTTTCCCCTGCAATTCGCAAAGGGGAGGGACTGAGCCTTGTGCGAATAGCGCAGAGGTCCCCAACCTCTTTTGCCGCACGGACCGGTTTTATGTCAGACAATATTTTCAGGGACCGGCCTTTAAGGCCAAATACAATATATTATGATATGACCTGCATGAAAAGTGTGTTATTTTCGAAACATAATAATAAACACGAATCACGGCACGAGGAACGGCCTATCTGGCCGCAACATTCTCTGGTCGCTAAACGTACCTTCAAAATAAGAGACGCCGCAAATAAAAAGTGCATGAAAAATACGACTCACCATCGCCGCTTATTATGCAGGGTAGGTTTGGTGCGTCTATTAAATGTAGCCTTCTTGAAAGTTGTAGGCTCCTCTTTTGTCTCCTGGCTGGGGCTTTTCCCCTTCCCGAAAAAACTTTTTAAAGACGTTTGTTTTTTAAGCGGTACGCGGTGACCGAGAAGCGCGCATTCACCTATGTCAAGAGTTACATACTGTAGACTGATATAACAGAGAATCCGGTAATTTTTCAAAATAAAACACATTTCAGATTCCGAAATGAATAAAACGGAAGGAATGTAAGTTATTTATTCTTTCTGTGCGGCCCGGCACCAAATGACCCGCAGACCGTTCCGCAGCCCGGCGGTTGGGGACCCCTGGAATAGCGAGACACGGCATGTGCTGCAAGTGATGCAGCCCCGATAATGAATAGTGCCTGCATAAATAGTTTAAAATATAAACGTATCACACGCTGCAATCCCCAATCCCTCCACTATCATTGAAAACGATCCGCTTAAAATTTAATGGCTTACGGATGATTTGATTTGAACAAAATGGATTGGAAATGCGAGGACGCCGGCGTGCATGTCGCTTTTGCAACATAGCAAAAATAGCAACTGTCGAGCAATTTCTTTGCTTGAGCGTTTTAATAGCCACTCAGCAGAGAGTAAAAATATACACACGCAGCATTGAGTCAAGCCAAAGGCTTTCCACTGGCTCCAAGCCAGCTGTCGAATGGATTTCAACCCTTTCAGGCACAAATTATGAGAACCTACATCAGGATTTGTCAGGATTTTTTTTTTTTTTTGTGCGGATCATTCAGACAAGAGAAAGCAGCTTTTCAATAGCAAGTCTATTGTAGTGAACCACGGATGCGTTTGCCCCCCCATACCTATAATTCAAGTTTTTTTAAAGCATCCTTACATCATTTCACTGTATGCTCTTTTACTAATTTACGAAAGCTCCTCTTCATTTATTTAATTTTCTTTTCAATGTCTGTAAATCTTGCGTTTTTAAATGCTTTCAAATGTCGTATTGTAAATTATGCGAAGCACCTTATGTACAGTATGAAACGCCTAACATAAATAAAGCTGCCTTGCCTTGCCGAAAATGCTTTCACTCCAACTTCTTAGCCTTTCAGTCGATACTGCACTTCAACACTCTCCCTTGACGTCAGCTACTACTTTTCTATTTGAGCTTTTGCACCATCTTGTAGCCTGTTGGGACCGTAAAGACAGAACCAGGAAAGGTTCCACCCCCCCCCCCAAAAAAAAAAAAAAGCAAACAAGGGTTCACTGCAATCATTTTCTTTTCATTTTGTCATTCAAACATTCTAGCGGGTGGTAGCTGTCCTATGGATGTTTTTTTTTTTTTTTTTTTTTCCCCATTGGCCTATGGGGCAGATTTCATTGAGCACCGCGAACTCGGCATAGTAACAAGTGAATTTGACTTGCTTCTTAAATCACGAATGATGTGCATTGTCCGTGCTATTGAGAACATAAACATTGTAACTGGCCTCTAGGAAAAGCACATCAGATATAAGTAGTAAATGTGAGGACTGTAGTTTTCCTCTAAAGCAGGGTCACTCAGTGGTTGATGCTCAGTTGTTCCACATGAAAAGAAAAAAAAACAATTATTTTATCAAGGCCCACAATAAGATGATAAAACTAATTTTGTCAGTCCTTTTCTGTGTTAAACTCCGACAAGCACGCCAGGTAGATTTTGCCTGAAATGCCTTCATCT